AGTTCTAACGGAGGTTATTATGAAGAGCGTTATGGTTCATGATTTTGCACATACTGCAACTACTGATTCCCCACGGTCCACCTTCGACCGTTCCCATGGCCTTAAGACAGCCTTTGACAGTGGCTACCTCGTGCCTATTGAAGTTCAGGAAGTACTCCCCGGCGACGAAGTTGTTATGAATGCTTCGTTTTTTGGCCGTCTGTCTCCTACCGTTACCCCTATCATGGATAATGTTTTCCTTGATACCCAGTGGTTTTTCGTCCCTTCCCGTCTGTTGTGGACTAACTGGTCTAAGATGATGGGTGAGCGTGTTAACCCTAAGGACAGTATTGATTATGTCTGTCCTACCCTTAGCAGTGGTGCTAATGGCTTTGCTGTTGGCTCTCTTGCTGACTATCTCGGGATTCCGACTGGTGTCCCGGATCTTGAGGTTAATGCATTGCCTTTTAGAGCGGTCGCTAAAATCTGGGACGATTGGTACAGAGACGAGAACCTTCAGGATTCTATTATTCAGTCTTCCGATGACCTTGGCGACGGGAATCCTAACGGTATTGACTGGAATGTACTGCGGAAGCGCGGAAAGCGCCATGACTACTTTACCAGTGCCCTTCCGTGGACTCAGAAAGGCCAGGCTATTGAATTGCCGCTTGGTACTTCTGCGCCTGTGACGTATAATGCTACCAATCCCCACGATTCTTATTTGACTGGTAAACAGGCTGGTCTGTGGCAAAAGGGTAATAATACCGATGCCGACCGTGCACAGGCTTGTTATCTTGGCGACGATGATTCTGCCAAGCGTATCCGCCCTGACTTGCAAGAACCTTTGTGGCTTAATGCCGACCTTAGCCGTGCAACTGCAGCGACTATTAATTCCCTCCGCATGGCTTTTCAGCTACAGAGATTGCTCGAAACTGATGCCCGTTGTGGTACTCGTCTCTGCGAGATTATCCGTGGTCACTTTAAGACTATATGTCCTGACGCTCGTCTGCAAAGGTCTGAGTATCTCGGCGGTTCTTCCACTCCTATTGGTTTCTTGCCTGTCGCTCAGACTGCCGAAAACGGAGATACCCCGCAAGGTAATCTCGTCGCTAACGGTAAGGTTACCTCTGGTTGCTATTGGCATAAGTCTTTTTCTGAGTGGGGCTATATCGTTGGTTTTGCTAATGTCCGTTGCGACCTTAACTATCAGCAAGGCCTTGACCGCATGTGGTCTCGTAAAGGACGGTATGATTTCTTCTGGCCCGTTCTGCAAAACCTTGGTGAGCAAGCCGTCCTTAATAAGGAAATTTATGCACAGGGTTCTAGTGTTGTCGATGAGAACGGTAACGTTATTGACGATATGCCTTTTGGGTATCAGGAACGTTATGCTGAGTACCGTTATAACCCCTCTCGCATTACTGGTAAAATGCGGTCTACAGCCCCACAGTCCCTTGACGTATGGCATTTAGCTCAGCGGTTTGATACTCTTCCAACACTCTCTAAAGAGTTTATTGAGGATAACCCACCTCTTAAACGTGTTCTTAGTGTTCAGGATGAACCAGAGATTATTCTTGATGCGTATCTTGGTCAGAAGTGGACTCGGCCTATGGGTGTAAGGTCTATTCCCGGCCTTGTCGATCATCTCTAATCCGTATTGTGCCACGTGGCACATTTCCTGTGCTAGTCTGGAATGTGCCACGTGGCACATTTATTGGAGTGTATTATGAGTTGGCTATCTAAAGGACTTAAAAAACTCGTCGGTAGTGGTAAATCCAAAGTTAAAGACTGGGGCGATAACCCATCTGACCCCCTTGGTTGGGGTCAACCTATAAAGGACTATATTACCGGCGAAACACAAGCTCGCATTAATACTGCATATGCCAGTCAGCAAATGGCTGAGCAGTATGGCTATAATTCCGCTCTTCAAGACCGTGCTAATCAGTTCTCGCACGACGAAGCTAATATCGCCCGTGAATATGAAACGATGATGAGTAATACAGCATATCAGCGTGCACGAGCCGACCTTAAAGCCGCTAATCTTAACCCTCTAATAGCCTTGTTGCAAGGCGGTGCTTCCACCCCGTCCGTTGCCGCCCCCCATTCCGCATCGGCATCTGTCGCCGCTCCAACCTCTGCCGGTGCAACTGGCCATCTTGGTGAGGTTATTGGTACTGTTGGCTCTGTGGCTTCCGGCGTTGCCGGTATCGCTTCTGTCGGTAGTCAGATTGCACAAAAGGCTCTTGACAATGAAGCTACCTCCGCAAAGATTGCCCTTACAAAGGCTCAAGCTGTAAAGACTGCTCAGGATGCTAAAATTGATGCGCCCAAGGCCCGGGCTATGGGTCTCATTGATGACCTCGTTACTAAAGGTGAATCTTCTTTGCGTGATGCTGTACATCTCCTTCAGCAAGGCGGTCGTGAAGCTTCTGATTTCCTTTCCAAAGGTAAGTCTGATGAATCGTCTGTTAAGATTGCGAAGATGGCAAAAGCGGCAACTGCCACTGCCGCTAAACAGCTATCGCCCACACCCCTAGAGGAAGCCAAGGCACTGCATAAGCATACCCTTGCAAATCCTTTGTCTCCTAGTGCTCAACGAGGTCGCTATAATGAAAAGGATAACATGTTGCCCCTTGGCTTTGGTGATGATACTAGCTATGCTGAAGAGCTAGAGACCCTCTTTAGTACTGGACGGCCTATGAGATATCATGAGCGTTACCACGAGGATAAGAGCGCGATCTCTGAGAATCGTCGTTGGCCCTTGCGTTCGCATAGTACCCACAAGCATTCTATTTATGGACACTGATAATGTGCCACGTGGCACATTAGCCGCGCCGTTTACGTGCGCGGCTTGATGTGCCCGACGTGGTTAGCGGTTAGCGGCACAAAACTTTTTTTAAAAAACTTCCGTTCCCCTGTTGACATTCCGCAAAAAAATTGATACAATGTGCGTGTTGTCAAACAAAGCGAAAGGAAGTTAAAATGATTAGTCATAATCTCAAAACTCGTCTCGCCAACGCCACGTGTCTTCTTGCTTCTTTTGAGTACCGCGACCGTGACGGTAATGTCGTGCACGATATTGATATTTGTATTGCGCCCGGCGAATTATCCACTTTTGGCAGTAAGGCCAGTCTTGTCGGTGCTCTAGAGTTTAATGCGAATTGCGGCTCTGTTAGTTTATTTATTAACGGTTATCGTCGGCCCGGTTGCTATTGGCGTTTGCTCGCCAAACGTGTCGAATTCACAGCCGCTACTCGTCTTTCTGATGGTAACGGTTTCGATTGGTCCATCATTAATGAGGTATGTTAATAATGGACTGTTGCAAGCCCGTTATTTGTTGGAGATGTGGCCACGCCGTCGCTAAAGACGGCGTGGTCTCCCCTCGTCTGGTCTTTTCTGAACGTGAGGCCTTGGCTTATTGTGCCGGTCTCGGTTTGCCCCTTGACCACGTACATAAGTTTGAAATGGCTGTTCCCTGTGGCCATTGCCTTCTCTGTGAAATGCGTAAGCGGAAAGACTGGACTGTCCGCCTTTCCCATGAGTTCCGTATGCACGAGAAATCTTGTTTCATCACCCTGACATACGACGATGAGCATATCCCTACTACTGATTGGCGTCCTGTTTGCGACGATGAAAAACAAATCGCCTTCGGTCTCGGCGAGTTGCCAGAACGTACTCTTTTGCCAAGTGATGTTCAGAGATTTATGAAACGTGTCCGTCGGTGGCTTTCTTATGTAGCTAAGCGCCCCCGTAAAGATGGCATTGTCCGCGATCATGTTGAGAACATAAGGTATTACGCTGTCGGTGAGTATGGAGGTAAGACTCGTCGACCACATTACCATATCCTCATCTTTGGATGGACTCCGTCTGACCTTGTTCTTCATGGAAAAACTAAAGCCGGTAATCTGATTTACCGTTCTGCACAGATAGAAAAGCAGTGGAAGTTTGGATTTTCGTCCGTTGCCCCTGTTGATGAAGGCGTTGCTAAGTATTGCGCACGTTATGTCACCAAGAAGTTTGTCCGCTTGCGAGAGGACGATATTACCTCGCGTTCTGTATTACCTGAGTTTACTCTGCAATCTGTTAAAGGCGGTGGTATTGGTGCACCCTGGTTTGACCGTTTCGGTGCGCATGCCTGTGAGGTTGGCTATGTTACGGTTAAATGTCACGATAAGGTATCTAAGTATAAAGTCCCACGTTATTATCAGAATAGACTCCGCAAGACTAAAGTCAAGTTGTGGTGTAAGTTGCGCGATCAGCGGATAGAATGGATTTCTTCTCGCCCTTGTATTGACATTGGCGAAAATTTTGATATACTCTGCAGCATACGTCAAGATCGGCTTGCACGGTGTAAGGCGGCGATTGTACGTATCAGAGATGAAATTGAAAGGGAAACGCTATGAGTAAGCGATACAAGCCTAATCAGCGACGGGCTAAGGCACGTTTTGCCCGGACTGCCAATAAGACCAATCCTAAGAATGTTGCTCCGCCGCCTATGCGTGGCGGCTATCGTCTGTGAGGTGTCCTATGTCTAGATTCCTGAATCGTTATAACCACGCTAGCCCTACCTCCCCTGCTGGAGGTGTTAGCATGACCGATCCTCAGTACTTGGCAGATTGCGATATTAACACTATTCTCCGCAAGTATGCTATTACTGGTACTCTTCCTGATAGTACACCTGTTGTTCACGGTGATTTTTCCTGTGTAGAGGACTTCGTTAGCGCATTTCAGCGCATTGATGCCGCTAGAGACCAGTTTGCTTCTTTGCCTTCTGAGCTTCGCGCTCGTTTCGGGCACGATGTCAAGGCTTATTTTGAGTTCGTTCTCAATCCTGAGAATGCCGAAGAATGCAAGCGTTTGGGTCTTCTTGTCCCGACTACTGTTGAACCTTCCGCTGAAGAGCTTCTTCAGCAGATCGCCGACAATACTAGGACTACAAAGGGCACCGTGGAGACGGGGAAGTAGGGTCTATCCCGCTTCCCTTTCGTAAACCACTTGATCAAACAATACGAAAGTGACACAAAATGGAACTCCTTAAAAAATCCCTCTACGAGCTTTTGAAAGCCGTGATTACCGCCGCACTTGCGGCTTTTGGTCTTGTAACTACCGGCTGCTTCCATATGCAGTTCTAACGGAGGTTATTATGAAGAGCGTTATGGTTCATGATTTTGCACATACTGCAACTACTGATTCCCCACGGTCCACCTTCGACCGTTCCCATGGCCTTAAGACAGCCTTTGACAGTGGCTACCTCGTGCCTATTGAAGTTCAGGAAGTACTCCCCGGCGACGAAGTTGTTATGAATGCTTCGTTTTTTGGCCGTCTGTCTCCTACCGTTACCCCTATCATGGATAATGTTTTCCTTGATACCCAGTGGTTTTTCGTCCCTTCCCGTCTGTTGTGGACTAACTGGTCTAAGATGATGGGTGAGCGTGTTAACCCTAAGGACAGTATTGATTATGTCTGTCCTACCCTTAGCAGTGGTGCTAATGGCTTTGCTGTTGGCTCTCTTGCTGACTATCTCGGGATTCCGACTGGTGTCCCGGATCTTGAGGTTAATGCATTGCCTTTTAGAGCGGTCGCTAAAATCTGGGACGATTGGTACAGAGACGAGAACCTTCAGGATTCTATTATTCAGTCTTCCGATGACCTTGGCGACGGGAATCCTAACGGTATTGACTGGAATGTACTGCGGAAGCGCGGAAAGCGCCATGACTACTTTACCAGTGCCCTTCCGTGGACTCAGAAAGGCCAGGCTATTGAATTGCCGCTTGGTACTTCTGCGCCTGTGACGTATAATGCTACCAATCCCCACGATTCTTATTTGACTGGTAAACAGGCTGGTCTGTGGCAAAAGGGTAATAATACCGATGCCGACCGTGCACAGGCTTGTTATCTTGGCGACGATGATTCTGCCAAGCGTATCCGCCCTGACTTGCAAGAACCTTTGTGGCTTAATGCCGACCTTAGCCGTGCAACTGCAGCGACTATTAATTCCCTCCGCATGGCTTTTCAGCTACAGAGATTGCTCGAAACTGATGCCCGTTGTGGTACTCGTCTCTGCGAGATTATCCGTGGTCACTTTAAGACTATATGTCCTGACGCTCGTCTGCAAAGGTCTGAGTATCTCGGCGGTTCTTCCACTCCTATTGGTTTCTTGCCTGTCGCTCAGACTGCCGAAAACGGAGATACCCCGCAAGGTAATCTCGTCGCTAACGGTAAGGTTACCTCTGGTTGCTATTGGCATAAGTCTTTTTCTGAGTGGGGCTATATCGTTGGTTTTGCTAATGTCCGTTGCGACCTTAACTATCAGCAAGGCCTTGACCGCATGTGGTCTCGTAAAGGACGGTATGATTTCTTCTGGCCCGTTCTGCAAAACCTTGGTGAGCAAGCCGTCCTTAATAAGGAAATTTATGCACAGGGTTCTAGTGTTGTCGATGAGAACGGTAACGTTATTGACGATATGCCTTTTGGGTATCAGGAACGTTATGCTGAGTACCGTTATAACCCCTCTCGCATTACTGGTAAAATGCGGTCTACAGCCCCACAGTCCCTTGACGTATGGCATTTAGCTCAGCGGTTTGATACTCTTCCAACACTCTCTAAAGAGTTTATTGAGGATAACCCACCTCTTAAACGTGTTCTTAGTGTTCAGGATGAACCAGAGATTATTCTTGATGCGTATCTTGGTCAGAAGTGGACTCGGCCTATGGGTGTAAGGTCTATTCCCGGCCTTGTCGATCATCTCTAATCCGTATTGTGCCACGTGGCACATTTCCTGTGCTAGTCTGGAATGTGCCACGTGGCACATTTATTGGAGTGTATTATGAGTTGGCTATCTAAAGGACTTAAAAAACTCGTCGGTAGTGGTAAATCCAAAGTTAAAGACTGGGGCGATAACCCATCTGACCCCCTTGGTTGGGGTCAACCTATAAAGGACTATATTACCGGCGAAACACAAGCTCGCATTAATACTGCATATGCCAGTCAGCAAATGGCTGAGCAGTATGGCTATAATTCCGCTCTTCAAGACCGTGCTAATCAGTTCTCGCACGACGAAGCTAATATCGCCCGTGAATATGAAACGATGATGAGTAATACAGCATATCAGCGTGCACGAGCCGACCTTAAAGCCGCTAATCTTAACCCTCTAATAGCCTTGTTGCAAGGCGGTGCTTCCACCCCGTCCGTTGCCGCCCCCCATTCCGCATCGGCATCTGTCGCCGCTCCAACCTCTGCCGGTGCAACTGGCCATCTTGGTGAGGTTATTGGTACTGTTGGCTCTGTGGCTTCCGGCGTTGCCGGTATCGCTTCTGTCGGTAGTCAGATTGCACAAAAGGCTCTTGACAATGAAGCTACCTCCGCAAAGATTGCCCTTACAAAGGCTCAAGCTGTAAAGACTGCTCAGGATGCTAAAATTGATGCGCCCAAGGCCCGGGCTATGGGTCTCATTGATGACCTCGTTACTAAAGGTGAATCTTCTTTGCGTGATGCTGTACATCTCCTTCAGCAAGGCGGTCGTGAAGCTTCTGATTTCCTTTCCAAAGGTAAGTCTGATGAATCGTCTGTTAAGATTGCGAAGATGGCAAAAGCGGCAACTGCCACTGCCGCTAAACAGCTATCGCCCACACCCCTAGAGGAAGCCAAGGCACTGCATAAGCATACCCTTGCAAATCCTTTGTCTCCTAGTGCTCAACGAGGTCGCTATAATGAAAAGGATAACATGTTGCCCCTTGGCTTTGGTGATGATACTAGCTATGCTGAAGAGCTAGAGACCCTCTTTAGTACTGGACGGCCTATGAGATATCATGAGCGTTACCACGAGGATAAGAGCGCGATCTCTGAGAATCGTCGTTGGCCCTTGCGTTCGCATAGTACCCACAAGCATTCTATTTATGGACACTGATAATGTGCCACGTGGCACATTAGCCGCGCCGTTTACGTGCGCGGCTTGATGTGCCCGACGTGGTTAGCGGTTAGCGGCACAAAACTTTTTTTAAAAAACTTCCGTTCCCCTGTTGACATTCCGCAAAAAAATTGATACAATGTGCGTGTTGTCAAACAAAGCGAAAGGAAGTTAAAATGATTAGTCATAATCTCAAAACTCGTCTCGCCAACGCCACGTGTCTTCTTGCTTCTTTTGAGTACCGCGACCGTGACGGTAATGTCGTGCACGATATTGATATTTGTATTGCGCCCGGCGAATTATCCACTTTTGGCAGTAAGGCCAGTCTTGTCGGTGCTCTAGAGTTTAATGCGAATTGCGGCTCTGTTAGTTTATTTATTAACGGTTATCGTCGGCCCGGTTGCTATTGGCGTTTGCTCGCCAAACGTGTCGAATTCACAGCCGCTACTCGTCTTTCTGATGGTAACGGTTTCGATTGGTCCATCATTAATGAGGTATGTTAATAATGGACTGTTGCAAGCCCGTTATTTGTTGGAGATGTGGCCACGCCGTCGCTAAAGACGGCGTGGTCTCCCCTCGTCTGGTCTTTTCTGAACGTGAGGCCTTGGCTTATTGTGCCGGTCTCGGTTTGCCCCTTGACCACGTACATAAGTTTGAAATGGCTGTTCCCTGTGGCCATTGCCTTCTCTGTGAAATGCGTAAGCGGAAAGACTGGACTGTCCGCCTTTCCCATGAGTTCCGTATGCACGAGAAATCTTGTTTCATCACCCTGACATACGACGATGAGCATATCCCTACTACTGATTGGCGTCCTGTTTGCGACGATGAAAAACAAATCGCCTTCGGTCTCGGCGAGTTGCCAGAACGTACTCTTTTGCCAAGTGATGTTCAGAGATTTATGAAACGTGTCCGTCGGTGGCTTTCTTATGTAGCTAAGCGCCCCCGTAAAGATGGCATTGTCCGCGATCATGTTGAGAACATAAGGTATTACGCTGTCGGTGAGTATGGAGGTAAGACTCGTCGACCACATTACCATATCCTCATCTTTGGATGGACTCCGTCTGACCTTGTTCTTCATGGAAAAACTAAAGCCGGTAATCTGATTTACCGTTCTGCACAGATAGAAAAGCAGTGGAAGTTTGGATTTTCGTCCGTTGCCCCTGTTGATGAAGGCGTTGCTAAGTATTGCGCACGTTATGTCACCAAGAAGTTTGTCCGCTTGCGAGAGGACGATATTACCTCGCGTTCTGTATTACCTGAGTTTACTCTGCAATCTGTTAAAGGCGGTGGTATTGGTGCACCCTGGTTTGACCGTTTCGGTGCGCATGCCTGTGAGGTTGGCTATGTTACGGTTAAATGTCACGATAAGGTATCTAAGTATAAAGTCCCACGTTATTATCAGAATAGACTCCGCAAGACTAAAGTCAAGTTGTGGTGTAAGTTGCGCGATCAGCGGATAGAATGGATTTCTTCTCGCCCTTGTATTGACATTGGCGAAAATTTTGATATACTCTGCAGCATACGTCAAGATCGGCTTGCACGGTGTAAGGCGGCGATTGTACGTATCAGAGATGAAATTGAAAGGGAAACGCTATGAGTAAGCGATACAAGCCTAATCAGCGACGGGCTAAGGCACGTTTTGCCCGGACTGCCAATAAGACCAATCCTAAGAATGTTGCTCCGCCGCCTATGCGTGGCGGCTATCGTCTGTGAGGTGTCCTATGTCTAGATTCCTGAATCGTTATAACCACGCTAGCCCTACCTCCCCTGCTGGAGGTGTTAGCATGACCGATCCTCAGTACTTGGCAGATTGCGATATTAACACTATTCTCCGCAAGTATGCTATTACTGGTCTCTAGCGTCATCAATGCGCTGAAATGCGCTAACGAAGTCCCTGTGTAGAGGACTTCGTTAGCGCATTTCAGCGCATTGATGCCGCTAGAGACCAGTTTGCTTCTTTGCCTTCTGAGCTTCGCGCTCGTTTCGGGCACGATGTCAAGGCTTATTTTGAGTTCGTTCTCAATCCTGAGAATGCCGAAGAATGCAAGCGTTTGGGTCTTCTTGTCCCGACTACTGTTGAACCTTCCGCTGAAGAGCTTCTTCAGCAGATCGCCGACAATACTAGGACTACAAAGGGCACCGTGGAGACGGGGAAGTAGGGTCTATCCCGCTTCCCTTTCGTAAACCACTTGATCAAACAATACGAAAGTGACACAAAATGGAACTCCTTAAAAAATCCCTCTACGAGCTTTTGAAAGCCGTGATTACCGCCGCACTTGCGGCTTTTGGTCTTGTAACTACCGGCTGCTTCCATATGCAGTTCTAACGGAGGTTATTATGAAGAGCGTTATGGTTCATGATTTTGCACATACTGCAACTACTGATTCCCCACGGTCCACCTTCGACCGTTCCCATGGCCTTAAGACAGCCTTTGACAGTGGCTACCTCGTGCCTATTGAAGTTCAGGAAGTACTCCCCGGCGACGAAGTTGTTATGAATGCTTCGTTTTTTGGCCGTCTGTCTCCTACCGTTACCCCTATCATGGATAATGTTTTCCTTGATACCCAGTGGTTTTTCGTCCCTTCCCGTCTGTTGTGGACTAACTGGTCTAAGATGATGGGTGAGCGTGTTAACCCTAAGGACAGTATTGATTATGTCTGTCCTACCCTTAGCAGTGGTGCTAATGGCTTTGCTGTTGGCTCTCTTGCTGACTATCTCGGGATTCCGACTGGTGTCCCGGATCTTGAGGTTAATGCATTGCCTTTTAGAGCGGTCGCTAAAATCTGGGACGATTGGTACAGAGACGAGAACCTTCAGGATTCTATTATTCAGTCTTCCGATGACCTTGGCGACGGGAATCCTAACGGTATTGACTGGAATGTACTGCGGAAGCGCGGAAAGCGCCATGACTACTTTACCAGTGCCCTTCCGTGGACTCAGAAAGGCCAGGCTATTGAATTGCCGCTTGGTACTTCTGCGCCTGTGACGTATAATGCTACCAATCCCCACGATTCTTATTTGACTGGTAAACAGGCTGGTCTGTGGCAAAAGGGTAATAATACCGATGCCGACCGTGCACAGGCTTGTTATCTTGGCGACGATGATTCTGCCAAGCGTATCCGCCCTGACTTGCAAGAACCTTTGTGGCTTAATGCCGACCTTAGCCGTGCAACTGCAGCGACTATTAATTCCCTCCGCATGGCTTTTCAGCTACAGAGATTGCTCGAAACTGATGCCCGTTGTGGTACTCGTCTCTGCGAGATTATCCGTGGTCACTTTAAGACTATATGTCCTGACGCTCGTCTGCAAAGGTCTGAGTATCTCGGCGGTTCTTCCACTCCTATTGGTTTCTTGCCTGTCGCTCAGACTGCCGAAAACGGAGATACCCCGCAAGGTAATCTCGTCGCTAACGGTAAGGTTACCTCTGGTTGCTATTGGCATAAGTCTTTTTCTGAGTGGGGCTATATCGTTGGTTTTGCTAATGTCCGTTGCGACCTTAACTATCAGCAAGGCCTTGACCGCATGTGGTCTCGTAAAGGACGGTAAGTACTCTGCGTTGATACCACTGCTTACCTTGGTGAGCAAGCCGTCCTTAATAAGGAAATTTATGCACAGGGTTCTAGTGTTGTCGATGAGAACGGTAACGTTATTGACGATATGCCTTTTGGGTATCAGGAACGTTATGCTGAGTACCGTTATAACCCCTCTCGCATTACTGGTAAAATGCGGTCT